TCTATTTAGGAAGGACTGAACATTTAATTGTTCCAGTCTTAGCGTTAACCCACAGTAGTGCTAAATTTAGATCCAGAAACAGTTTCTTAAGATTTGCATATTTTCAGCCTTATGACTGGAAAGTAGTATTGAGGGAAGCACACCAGCCAGTCAGGCACAGCCTGCAGGGCTGAAGTCAGAGAATGCAACAACTTGACCTCTGCAAGCTTCAGGCAATTAAAAAAAAAAAAAACAAAACCACAACCCAAACCCCCATAAAAACAACACCCACACACAATACATGCCATTGAAATTGTAACGGGGACTAGAAAGGCAGGCTGCAGTGAACAGAATTAGAACCAGACTAGGGGCTTGAATAAACATCTTACACAAAAAATGTCAGAAAGAACGGCAATTATAATATCTAGAAAATAGTGCCCTACCATACATACCACGCCCGCCTGCTACTACTTAACAATGCACAGCACAGTCTCATCGCTTCCACCCATAGCCCGGCACCTCTGTGCTCCTTTGTACAAATACACATCAGTCCCCTGTGCCTCAGGGAAGGCGCAGTCTAAAGAGAGATAAGAACAGAGGCTTAGTCGACACTATCGTAAGCAGCGGCGTCCTTCACTGATCTCCTGTTGCGATGCTTACACAAACCATCTCACAGACACAGCACCAGGACTGTACAGCTGTAAATTAAAAAAGGACACTGTAAAAATACAAGAAAGTGCACCTGTGTAATTTATAATTTGTATTGCAAAACGAAAAGACATAGCTCAACATCTTATTTCTTCTTTTAAATATGATTTTTCAGCTAGTCAAAGACACAAAGGATTCAGTAAGGTGTCCCTCAAATAACTCTAAAGCATGGTTTTAACTACCATGCAAAAGCATATTCTCCCCTCTTGGATTTATGAAATTCAGCTCTAAAGTCTCTGGACCATTTTTCATATGTTCTTTCCTATCATCCAAGTCTTCTCTATAAAAAGAAGAAACTAGGACTGTCATTTCACAAAATGCAGACACAGATTTAAGTATTATGCAGTGAGAACAACTACTCATTGGGGAATTGGAAAAGATCAGCATAGCTATTGCGACATATAACGTAACTGAGATGGAAAAAGCCTCATCTTCCATCCTGGATGTTTATTGCATATGTTACAGTCCTCTGTACATCCAGCCATCACTGATGCTCCTAGGAACCGTATAAGCAGAAAAAGAACAGAACATTCTCAAGAAAGCCTCTGCAAAAAGAACTCTGATCTCCAGGGTGAGAGCTTGTGTCATTAAATGTCTGACATCAGATTTCATTGCAGGCGATAGCGAAATTCTCTCCGACTTCAACAGCAGTTTGGGCCATAGGCTCCCCCCCGCCATCACTTTCCACTGGCCTTGCTCCTTGACAATGAGATTAGCATTACAGAAATAGACTGAAGTTTTAAGAAGCACATAAAATAAAAGATTTGGTGTTATGTTTGCATTTGTCCTCAGCTACCAAGAGCTTCACTGTTTTGAAAGAGCGGAGCTCAGTGCACACACGGACAGATCTGGAGTGCTGGTCTGGACGCTGGTTTGAGTCACAGGGGCAGAGCTGCACCCCCCACGGCCCCGTTCCCCACGAGAGGCATCATGAGATGGAGGCTCTTACACATCAGCAGCGTTATGCACTGTGCTACACTAACACACCTGAACCTGTGCCACAATTGCCATCCAGGGCTCTTCCGAAAGCAGAAATACCAAATTTTCCTGAAATATTCCAAATCCTGGTGCAAGAGACAATGTAGGACAGGGCTGAGACGCCAAATCTCACTTTGCCAAGTCAGTGTGTGGCACCGTTGGTCTGAAACCAGACCCACCTTCAGGAAGGCGGGCTAGCGAACTGAGCCATTTTGCCATCCTCGCTTTGAAAAGCTCGAAATTGGTAAAACAAAGCAATACTTAAGGCTCGGTGTATCCAAAACTGCTCGGCGAGCCTGAACACCCTTGTGTGGCTACACACGCACAGATCCGGGGGGAGGTGGCTCCAGGGGAGCCAGCCGCCCCCCACCCAGTACATCCCCCCTGCCATCCCCGGCCTGACTGGGTCGTTGTGCAGCACACTGCTGACACTGGTTGAGGCCAGACGCTTTTTTGTTGTTTTTCAAACATAAATGAAAAATATGTTTTATCACGTAGATGTGTAATTGACCTCCTGGCAAAGGTTAGCATCCTAGCCAGAAAACAGACTGCACACCATGATGAAGCCAGAAAGTATTTTGTAAAGTTTCTCTTTTACTGGAAAAAACATTATATCCATGCTTTAAAAGTATAATAAAAATGTGAACTAAAAATATACCTTAATGCAGCCAATAAAATTCAATTTTAATCTAAATAGTTTTTAAACCAAATGTTACAGCAACTACGTTTTATAAGGCCATCTAACCCCACAAGTCCATGTTTGGTTTATTTTTTTACCCGGAACACTATTTATTTTTTCCACTCTTTAAAGATATTACAAGTGTTATAACTGCCTTCCTTAACTGGCACTTCCATTTTTATGGGTCTGAAAGAAGTAATTAAAAAGTTTAAAATAAAAAATATCAGACACGCACATGGTTCGTGCTGCAATTTTCCATATGCTGACTACTGCCAACTTTACAACTTGACAGATGCTGGGAATATCCCAACTCTACCCTCGCAAGTCTCCTCCAGGACCACCACGAAAACACTTTGTCAGACTTCAAACATCAGCACCATCTCTGGTGTGCTATGGATTAGCCCCCAAAATACAAATGCTTAACCCAAACTTACTGGAGCTTACTAAATTTTGAAGTTTTCCAAATTCCCATTATTCTTGGGCACATTTCCCCCCCAGTTAATTTTGATAATCGGGTGAAAGAAACCCGAAACCAGAGTCAAAAATGGGGAAATCTCCTACAAGTCAGGTGGAAGGTGAGGACGAACCGTTCTCCCTGCTGAGCATTTGCTGCTTTACAGAGGCTCTACTTTTTGGGGTAAGGCCCAGGGCTGTTTCGATCTGTAATTCGAAGGGAGGGCAGGTTGCCCCCCCAGCCAGGAGGCAGCGTGTTCCCGTCCCGGCGCGCGTTACAGGCTGCGCAGCAGCTCCTGCCCAAACCCCTCGTGGCTGCACAGCTCGGCCGGCCCCGGCACCCCAGCGAGGGACGACGGAACCGCCTGGAAGCGAGTCAGCACAGCTCCATCCATCACACAGGAGGCACCGCCTGCCCTGCTCTTTTCTTTGGCAAGTTCCCCCTGTAACGTTTCTGGAACTGATGCTTTTACAGCACTTACAGCCGTACCTCCATTAGTGTTTCCACATTTCCTCCCTCCCATGGTAATAATTTCCCATTAAAAAAATGTACGTACTGCATCTGAGACTAAGAGCTACCTGTTGCAAAAATCATTTAAAGTGACTTGGTAAAACTTAGAGGATTAAACTTCATTTTCCTATCAGACCATCAATATATACCGCAAAGGACTTACAACAGGCAACACTGAAAAGCATCCTTGTTCAAATGCTTTCGCAAATCAAATGGCATTCATTTTCTCCATACATCTCATGTAAAGCAAAATGCCTTTGCACAGCTTTGTGTGTGTTCGGCAAGCAGAGAGGCTGTACAACGGCGGTGATTACCTAAACGGAGCAGAGCAGACTTTTGATGCTATATGGTTGCATTGAAGTCAGCCAGTGTTTTGGAAAACAAACTCTCTGAACACTGCTTTTTATGGCAGAAAAACACATGCTGTAGAGTACTGTAGAAAGAAAACCACATGCACAGAAAAGAGCAGAAAAGCAGAGTAGGTCAAAGAGAAACTCAAATGATTCCTAAATTCAGATTTTTTGGACTCCTTCAGCTGGAGACTGCAAAGAAGGACCATGTGGCCTTTTCAACGAGCTTGGAGTAAGTCAGTGCAATTTCAGCTTCGTGGGCTGGGAGTAATTTACACAATTCACTGGTAGGTGGCAACACTGTACAGAGATAAAACACATGTGCAGACAGCTTATTAAAGTGATAAATAGCCTGGGTTAGCAGAGAGGTGGACCCCCAAAATACCATATACTCAAACTTATGGTTACTTAATTTTTTGAAGAAACATGGCTAAGTGCTTCCTTATCCTTTTTTTTTTTTTTTTTTTTTTTTTTATGTATGGGCCCCACTCAAAAGTCTGTCTTTCTGAAAAAAAAAAAAAAAACAAAACCCAAAACAACAAAAACCACGACAAAAAAAAAACAAGCAACCAACCAAAACTAAAACCCAAAACAACAAACCTGCAGAAATGCAGGCTGCATTTCTGATGGTCAGAACAGAAAGCAACAGCCACCCTTCTGCCAGCACCGCGGGGCCTGGCACCCTTCCCGAGGGGTGTCAGGGCGGCTGGCCAAGGGCTTTCCAACTAGGTGCTAGCAAGGGCTAGTTGGGAGTGGGGAAAAAAGGAAAAAATGGAAAAATAGAGGAAAGAATAATAATAATTAAAAAAGGAAAGGAAAGAATAATAATAAAAAAAGAAAGGAAAAAGAGGAAAAATAGAGGAAAAAATAATAATTTAAATAAGGCAAAAAAATAGCAGAAAGAATAATAATTTAAAAAAGGAAAAAATAGAGGAAAAATAGAGGAAAGAATAATAATTCAAAAAAAAAAAAAGGAAAAAATAGAGAAAAGAAGAATAATAATAAAAACATAAAGGAAAAAAATAGAGGAAAAAATAATAGTTAAGAAAAAATAAAGGAAAAAAAGAGACGTAATCCTGGGGGGAAGGCAAAACTCTGCCCTGGGGGCTTCCCAAGCAAAGCAGAGCAGCCTCCCGCCAGCAGCGCAGCCCGCGGGCCCGGCCCGGCGGGGCGGGGCCGGTGTGGGCGGGGCGGGGCCGTTGTGGGCGGGGCCGGGGCCGGTGTGGGGCCGGGCCCTCCCGGCGGCGGGGCGGTATAAGGGCGGGCGGGCGGCGGCGGCGGCCGAGGCGGCGCGATGCAGAGCGGCCCGGTGGCGGTGCCGGTGCCGGTGGCGGGGCTGGCGGCGCGGCGCGGAGGCGGGCGCATGGAGCGCGTGGAGCGCGTGGAGCGCGGCGGGCGGCGGCGCAGCGAGGCGGAGGAGGCGGAGAAGGGCCGCATGAAGAGAACGATGTGAGTCCCGTCCCGGGGAGCGGGCTGCGGGGCCGTGGCTGGCGTTAGCCACTGCTGGCGGGCCAGCCGCTCGGCTTCGGTGTGTGTGTGTCTGTTGGGGGGGGGAGATAGTTTTCTTGCCCCCAGACAGATGCTCTGGGTGACTCGCTAAGTGCGGAACTGGCAAAGCAGCGCCAGGAAAACATCTGCAGCTTTTGCCCGTAAAGGGGCTGGTGTCCAAAGCTTTTCGAGTTGGCATTTTTAACAGGCATATTCCTCTTCGCTCTTCCAGCATTAAAGATTGGAAGACGAGACTGAGCTACTTCCTGCAGAACTCTTCCAATGCCACTAAAATGAAATCCAAGCAAGTGGGGAAACACCGCACCTACTTCAGGTAAATGATGAGAAAGAAGCTTTGCTTCAGTAACTCAAGTGTTCTGCAAAAACAGTGAAGCTTGAGCAACGGAGTCTAATGTTCTCCATCTCTTTCTGCAGACCTTCCCCTGAAGAAGCCCAGCTGTGGTCAGAAGCCTTTGATGAACTTCTTGCTAATAAATGTAAGTTTGTCATCAGAAAGTAACCTTTAAGAGCAAAGGGATGGTGAAGTTTATGTCTGTAAGAAATGGCTTTCTTGCATGTCAGCATTTTACCTTTCTAATGTAAACAGCTTTGATTCTGGTCTTGAAATGTAAATGCTTTAAACTGTTTAAAGACAAAATTCATAGAAGCATTCTTTCAAAAAATTGTAGACTAGTATTAAAGCATCAAGAATACTTTATTGTAGTGGAATATTTTCTGCAACCCTTGTAGTTAAAACTGTACTTACCAGCTTGGCTTTGCCACATGTGAAAAGAGCATTTGCTCACTGAGCTCACTACTTAACCAAGACAAATGCATTCACATGACTTGGGAAGGATTCTGCAACACAAGTTCAGTGATCTCGGGGTTTTACTGTAGCTGTACAAAGAAAAGCACTCAACAGCAGAGTAAAAAGACCAAGTAGTAATATTACTATTTGCACTTTGAACTTCAGTTATCCTTTCGATTGCAAAGAGTATTCTAGAGCTTTGTAGCAGTCATAAATATTTACTCCAGTGTAAAGGTTAACACAGGAGAGCCCATCTAGAGAAAGGAGGTTTTTTTAAATATATATGCAGGCATCACAAAAGGGAACATACCAACTAGAAATGGCTTTCATTTTGTGTGCTTTCCTAAAAAATGACAAACTCAAACCGAAGCCTGCTGAGCTGTTAGAGTGTTAATTCATTTACATACACAAATGTGGATATTTTTTTATTTTTTTTTTTTACTGCTAAGATATCCCTGAAAGAACCAGAAGTACAGCAAAATGTTTTGGTAGAAACAGATGTGACCAGTGGGTAAATTCAAGATTCCTGAAATAGTTACTTGATGTTGTTGGGTTTTTTTTCTTTCCCTAGATGGTCTTGCTGCTTTCCGAGCTTTTCTGAAGTCTGAGTTCTGCGAAGAGAACATCGAGTTCTGGTTGGCCTGTGAGGACTTCAAGAAAACCAAGTCACCCCAGAAGCTGACATCGAAAGCAAAAAAAATCTACAATGACTTCATTGAGAAGGAAGCTCCCAAAGAGGTAAAGAAAGCCTATTTAAACATAAGTACCCTGTTCTAGAAGTTCTTACAGCCTTTCTTTATTTCTCTGAACTCACTTTAAGAAACAGATGCCAAGCTGCATTGTACGTACCTCGCTGTTAATAACTGTCTGAATGTAATTCTCTCCCTAACTGCCTCTTCACTAAGCTGGAAAATTGCACAAGCAGGAGTTCAAAGAGTTTCCATTTTAACTGAGAAAAGCCAACAGCTACATTTAACACCTGTAACATATTTGAGTTTAGCACTGAAAGATCTTATATCTGAGTTACTTTGGGTTTTGTATAAAAGGATTTTCTTAAAGCAAACTTCATTAACTTGACCCTGTAGTAATAGGGTCTTGCTTTTTTTAAGTCTTCAGAAATTTTATGGTGTATTATACTTACTTGAATTCTGTTCTCAGAAGTGAATGTGGGGGTTTTTGTTTTTTTTTTTTTAGATAAACATAGACTTCCAAACCAAGAACATGATTGCACAGAATATTCAAGAAGCCACACATACCTGCTTCAGTGCAGCACAGAAGAGAGTTTACAGCTTAATGGAGAATAACTCATACCCACGGTTTTTGGAATCTGAATTCTATCAGGAGCTGTGCAAGAAGACACCGATCACCAGAGCAGCCCAGGGGACATGAGCAATGCAGAAGAGCAAGACGAAGGCTCTTGGCTAGTGAGGAAGCAAGCTGCAGCCCATGGCAGCATCCTGACCTGAAAGACTGAGATAGAGAGCGCTCAGTCTGTTTGCCACAGTGCAAGGACAATTACTGACTTTGGTGTGAAGCTGAGGGCAAAGAGGGATGCTGCTGGAGGGCATATCGGAGGTGATGGCAGAAACGTGCCAGGCAGCTGCTGGCGCTGTGCTTCTGGGTGCTGCAGTGAAAGGTGACCCTGTGCCTGAGACCAAACCACACAGTATACGAGTCCTCCTGTCACGGCTGCGGTGGCGATGCAGCAGGTCAGAACAGAGCTTGCTTCTTATAAACAGAAGCTGCTCTGTACAGCTGCACAGTGCTGGGAACTTGAATAATTGGTTGTGTATTTATTTTTCCTAAACATCAGCCAGTGTTGCTGTCATCAGTCACTCTGTTCACAGTGGGTCTGTAAACTGCCTCTAGCTGCAAAGAGGTGTGTTAGGTTTCTGTGCAACCTCCAAGGAGGGAGGGATGGAGCTCTGCTCCCAGAAGAGCAGGTTCTGCAGCTAAAGCAGGCGGAGCTGGGCTGTGACAGCAGGGCTGCACCAGGCCAGACCAAGGGCAGAACTTGGCCAAGGCGAACAGAAGTTTATAGTATTATATTTATATGTGGATTATGATGGTGTTGAATGTCGCTATAATGTCATAATTCTGTCTTGAGGACAGCAAGCTTCAGTGAAGTCTCTTATTGTTTTTAATAAACTGTTTTGATACAAAGCTTCTTTTGTTGCTTAACTTGTTTTGCACCCACAGCTACGCTATCTGGCACCAAACTCCAGCGTATTGGGACCGCATGTCCTGGGTGTAATCTTAATAGGGCTGATTTTGAAGCAGTTAATTCTTAATCTACCCAGCCAGTGTTTTGTTTGGGGGTTTAAGAGACTAAAAAGCTTAACAGTGGAGATACATTCCATTGCATCTTCCACCTCCCCAGGAAGCCCCTCTCTAAGATGGTGCAAGGCACCTCCGTGCCTGCACTCGCCAGGTCGCCCGAAAGCAGCCGCGGGCCCCGGGGCCACCCCGGTGCTGCTGGAGGTCTCGGGCTTCTGTTGGGAACGCAGCACCAGCACTACACTTGCTCCTGCTCCAGATCTCGGCTTCAAACAAGGCTTGGGGGGGCTTTAATATCAGGCTGTAAAACCCATGCAGAGGTGATATTACAGTAATAAGCGTTTGACTCCCTGCTAGGTGCGCGCTGCTTAGGGGAAAAGTTACTGGTCACCATCATTCCATGTCAGTGTTCCTAACTGACAACATCTAAAACCAATAGTTCTAAAACACTCCCAAATTTATTAGTTTTGTGACTTGCCTGAACTCTAGCTCTGTTTAGGTTTTTATTCCACTCCTCAGGTTACAGCTTTAATTGCTCAGTTCACATATATCCACAGCAGTCACTCCAAGCATCAGGAAAATTCTAACTAGAGGATTTCCCACTTCAATCACATATCCAAAGACTGTTCAAAAGGAGCTACTTTCAGTATATGGATACTGTAGGGTATATAGCAGTGTGTGTATATATGTACACACAAATATGTGTATCTATTATACTGCCTCTATACATAGAAAGAAGCAAATGAAGCACAGCCCTCAATTATAGCCCTATTTCTGGGGCTGGGAGCATTAGCTCTCATACAGCTAAACTTGCTGATCATTAAAGTCCACCTAAATCAAGCACAAGGAAAAACTCATCCCAATAATTTACTGCAACAGAGAAAGGCTTTTTTTTTCCAACCAGGAAAAAAAATTAGGCTGATAATTGCTTTTGTAATCTAATAACATAATTTGAAAAGCATAAAAATAGCCAGAACTATACCTATTAATGACTCAGAGTTAGGGCAGGAAGAATTCCATGAAGCTTTATTAGCTTCAGTGAAGCTGCGTTAATCTCTGCCAATTTGGGATGTGGTAATTAACCACTGCTGGTGTCTGGTTTCAGGGAAAGAAACCTTTCTAGTTTCAGCAGGTGTCAGAACTACTTATAGCAGAGTATGTAGTTCAGAGGGGAGATTAGGTGGGGCCGTTAGGCAGGGCACCACTGCCTGAGGGCTGTTCTTGTATATTTTTAAGATTTGAATCATGAACACTGATTTTTTAGGAAGTATGTGCAGGCAGCTCTGTAGCTTCCACCGAGCTTGCCACCAGGGTAGTAAGCCAGCCAAGCCCTGCTAAGTCCCCAAAACGGTCTGCCCGCAGCCTCCAAGAGCCCTGGTTTCAGGGCTAAGCTTAGCAGCAACACGGTTTGGTGTATCAACAGAGGAAAAAAAAAAAAACCACAAACTTATTTTTAGTAAAATGCAACACATCTGTGCACACAACATTCCTTCCAGTTACTGCTTTTCTAGATTTTGATACTCTCCCTGTTTTCCCAACTCCCAGAGGGAAGCTCCACCAGAAAAAGAGAGCACTACTGGTACGCTGGGAGTGCCACAACCCCTGAAAGATGGCTATGAACATTTCCTGGAGAAGTCCAAACCCACCGATCAATTTAAGAGATGCTCCTTCCGTACTCTGGGCAGCCTTACAGCTGCAGTTAAACTCCGTACTCTGGTATCGGTACCCAATGGCAACCAGTAACGAACTGCTGGTCCCTGCACACCCAGCTGAGCCGCCCGCCCCACTCCCACTGGGCCACACGCAGCCAAAATCCCCACCGTGGTGGGGAAAAGTCCGGTCTGGGAATGACAACGGGAGGACAGCAGAGCTGGGGTCCCGCAGCCCAAGGGAAGGGTGCTGCTAGGCACCTGGCCAGAGCACCATCCTTCTTTTGGCTTCCATCAGGTTATAAAACTGCTCCATCCCGTACCCCTATTGAAAGCCACCCGGGCAGGAAAATAAGGAGAAGGGATCCCGACAGGTAACTGTGTTCCAGGAACCGCAGCCAGAAAGGATCACGGGTCCTGAACAAGTCTGTAAACAAGCTTAGCGTTTTTAAAGAAAGGACTTGCCTCAAAAATCTGAGGACAGAGAGAAGTGGATCTCTCCAGCGGGCAGGAAGGGACCCCAGCTCTGCTGGCACAGCCTTCGCCTGCACCGCGAGCCCTGGCTGAGCCCAAGGAAGCCAGTGCCAGTTCGTGCACTGCTAACATGGCTGGTGTTGGCTTGTAGAGTCTGAGGATCTAGAGGTGCTGAAAAACACCAGCAAATCTGGAATAAAGGTAACTTCTAACTAGGCATGTATCAGTTTTTAAACCAAACACAATATCTGGTGCTTTTCTTAGCTTCTAGAGGCAAGAGATATCCCTACTTTTGTAGGACAAAAAAATTACATTTCTCACCCTTATGATCATGAAAAAAAATTTGAAGTTGCAACTGGAGTAACTCTAGTAATTCCCCAAACCAGAACTTAATGTAAAGACTATGCATTCATTAAAAAAAAAAAACCAAAAAAACCAAAACAAACACCTAATTCTCTAAACCAATCTCATAATTTTGGGAAACTAGGTCATGAGTTTCAACTGTCTGGATCCAGCAACAGCTTGGGGTTTTTTAAGGGCTTCTGCTGACATTGCAGCATAGAGTAGTCTGATGGAGAATCCTCTATGCTATCAAGAAGACTACATGTAAAGTTATCTCCTAAAATACAAAACCAAAGCAGCTGACCCTCAGCAAGTGCCCTCTGGCCCAAAGGCTGGAGAGGACCTCTGAGAACAGGGCGAGCTCGACATCGATGCTGACTCACCACCCCAGCGGAATGGGAAAGCAATGCCACTCAGTAAACAGACGGCAACACAGTGCTCTTGCTCCATGTATTTATGTATTGCAGCTGCAAAATGTACCAGAACTATAAATAAAATCTGCATTTCCAGTTGAAATTCCAACTCTCCATTTGGAGAAGGGGACACTAATGACAATTTAAAGGGCTTTATAGGCATGCGTATATGTGTGTGGAAGGGTTTCTTGGATGGGACTTCATAACTTGGCAACTTGCATGGAGCAGAAAACTGACCTTTAGAAGTAGTTTTATGATTATTTCTTTTTTTTTTTTTTTTTTTTTTTTGACACATTTGACTTACTGTGATTCAAGCAGGAAAAACTGATCAGAACCTGGGACAGAATCCCAAATTAATCTTCCTTCAGGTGGCAAAATATTACCAAAGGCTCCTCCTCATCCGACTAGCACACCAATACCTTGTGCCACTACTGACTCCAGCATGCCAGGAACAATCAGGAGATGGGGACAGAACTGGCAGCAAGGCTACGAAACCAACCCAAGGTCCATCCCAGAGATGGGCCAGAAACAGGGCTAGTGACAGACCTACCTGCAATATAGGTCCTTGATCCATCCAGCAAGGCTCAGGAGAAGCCTAGGGCCCTCAAGGGTGAGCTTAAATGGAAACCACCCCCCCCCCCAGCAGATGGGCAGCAGGTGTGGGTGGGGGGCCCAGTGGGTCTGCTCAGGGCCATTAAAGCCATTAGTGCCCCCGAGGCCTTGACACAAATACAAAGGAGCCTTTTCTTGAGGGTTACTGTGCTGTCCATATGGGCCTGTCAGCTCGTGACCCCACAAGCTGTCTGAATTTTTGAGGAGGGTCTGCAGTCAGGCTTGTGGTAAACACCCTCAGCAATCAGCCTTGGGCAGTTCTGTAGATGTGCTAATTGGCATTACCCTGAGCACCCTAACTGGGAAATGATGGCTGGCCAGCACAGAAACCTGGGGAAAATACTCCCACTGTTATCCTATGTAGGAGTTTAAAACGCGAGTCCTTTGGCAAACTTTCATTAAAATAATCATCTAGATCAGACTTTCCAACAGCTACAAAGTACCCATGAGCAGCAATTAAATTATGTTCCATTAAAAACATTACGTATTCCATTCAAGATAATCTAATAGACAGAAATTAGTACTTATGTTCTCCAGACAGTTTTCCCACTTGGGATCTCATGGAATAAGTTGTGTTTCTGCATTACAGATTTAGACCAGAGAGCAGCTCCATTGGTTCTTGGATGGGAGCCTGAGTTAGGGCTTTCAGGGGATGTGGTATTAATCTAGTATTTATAGGGCTTGGAAAATCAGCTGTCCGGTATGGAAAAGGCACTCGGGAGCAGAGTGGGCTGTTTATTGCACTGGTGTGTTCCTTTGCCTTCGGGGATGTCCAAGGGAAATCAAAATAACAGGAGCGTGGCAGGGCACATGTACTGCAGAGGGGCAGCGAGGAGCTGTGCTAGCACCCTCCCGTTTCACCTATTGCTTTTAAAGGCCGACAGGATTAATTCTTTCACTGGGACCAGCCAGAGCTGATGGGGCTGAGCTTGGGATGAAAAGGGATGCTGGGGGGGGGGAGCCATCCCCACCATCCTGGTGCCGTCACAGCTGTGGCACATGCAGATGTTGGAGGCTTCCCCTGCTCTCAGCAGGCTTCGTACTGCGTCAGAGAGATTATCTGTCGTGTGTGGCTGCCCTCCCTGGCGTCCGCCCAGGCTGAGTACGTCTGTTTGCAAAGCTGAGCTGTCTCCTGACTTGGCTGCGGTTGGTTCCTGCTGTTTACTTTCCCTGATACCCTCTGGGGGCTGGGACCAGGTGTCCCAGCAAGGGGAGGACTGACAGCCAGGTAGGCCAGGACTCTCCCAGCCACCTTCCATGCCACTGGCAGACCGAAACCTCGGTTCTGCCACTCACCCTCCCTGCAGGCTGCTGGGTTTCGGAGCAGGGTCCTTTTGTTTTCAAAAGCAGAGGCCCTCTGAGGTGAAAATGCCAGATAAATATGCAGTGTAAATGG